AGGAAAAACGGCCAGAATGCCAGAAAAACTTTGCATTTTCTTTCCACAAATGATTCTGTTTCCTTTCTTTAATTTCTGAGTAGGTAGTTTAAATATGGTGGGTGCCCATTGTTTTGACCACAATAGCTGTCTAAGCTCCCTAAACAGCTGTCTGATGACTGCACAGCAGTGCCAAAAACTCAGACAAGTGCTTTTGGCATGATTAGACTCAGATATTGACTCGAACAGGACAAAACCAACCAGTTTTAAGTCTTGGTGCAGGCTATGAGACTGAAGCTGTCAATTTATAACTGACACAGTTATAAAAAACTCCACAAAAATAGTAAATTTACAAGCAGCTTGCTTGGAAAGAGAGGTGAAATATGTTTTTTTCTTGCTTACTTATTGTTCTTTTTTTCTTCACAGTTAGGCAGGTGCAGCAGTACCACCCAGAGGCCACTGCTATGCTGGGCACTGCACAAAGAGAAGGAGTTAGTCCCTGTCCAGAAGAGCTCAGAGACTAGAAAGGCAAAGAAGATGCTAAGGCTTAGAAAACATCATCACATGAAGACATTTCTAGTATTCTCAGATTAAAACCCCCAAACTTCCACCCCTTCACCATCCTGCTCCAGACAAATCTGGGCTCAGGCAGCTCCCCTGACGTTGCTAGAAAGGAACATGGCATTAACAGAGATAAGCAGAGAATCATTCAGACGGCTTGTAATTATGAATTAGACCACTCAGGTGAGGGGGAGAAGTTCCAGGATCTGGTCTTTGCTCCCAGGACTGTCTCTATATTTTCTATTCATCAGTCATTCCTGAGGGATCAATAGGCATGTAAATAGTGAATGCGCAGGTGGTGCAGCTCTCCTGTCATCCATGATCCATAAGGATCCATCCTTCCAGTCAGGGAACATGGCAAAAGCATTAAACAGGGGTATCTCCTCAGGTGAATCTGTTCCACTGTGTTACACCACTTGGTTAAAACCTTTCTCCTTGGTGAGAGAAATTGAACTTGTCCCTCCCATTTTCTGGGCCGGGGATCTGTTCAAAGAGGAGAAAGCCATCTCCATGATTTTGAAAGGCGGTAGTTATCAGGAGACTTTTGAGGGGGGGCCTGATCTTAGCAGTGTGTGACAAACAGTGTGTTTGGAGAATATCTGCAGGTTCTTCTCCCTGAAATGCAAGGAATGTTTCCAAGTCCCAGTTTTACTGATGCAGGAGATGAGAGCTGGGTTGGTCAGACGAGGCAAAGCGCAAAACAGGAGGGTAGGCCTTTGAAGTCAAAGAAGGAAATACCTCATGAGTTTAAAGACCTCAGCGATTCTGCATCTGTTAAGTGACTAAACAGAGCTCTTCTGATCAACAGTTTCAGACTTCGGCGCATCAAACCTTCCAAAGTATTAATTGTCTTTATGGAATGAAGGGTGTCTCTGCTGCTGTGACGAAAACCGAGGTGTTTGGGTTCATCAGAAAGGAGAAAAGGAGGTTGCATTTCTCCCTGGTAGCCTGATACCAAGGTGACTGGAAGCTAAAACCACCTCCCGGTGTAATAGAGTAGCTACAGCGAGGAACATGCAAGTATGATCAGAAAGCAAAACCACCCGGAAAGTGGATACTTTGCATCGCAAACAACAGCATTATGTTAAAATGTCAAGGCAGGCGGGAGGGGTAGCAGAGTTCTGACCCGTATACCTTCCGAGTAAATAAGCTGGACACATGAAACTCTCCCAACACGACACACATCTCTGTGCCAAGGAGCAAGGAATTGACCTACTGAACAAAATCCAGGCCCCTTTGATGTTGATGAGTTCTTCACAAGCCCGGCTAGGGAGGCTCTAGGAAGTAACAGAGAGCGTGTCCCGTCAAACTGACAGAGATATTTATTACAGGAGGAAGAGGAGGAGAGGACAATGTGACAGACGTTTGTCACCTTGTGTTAAGCACTGCTAAGGAAGGGATGCTCAGACTCAGCATTCTCTAAGAACCTACACAGGATACAACAGACTATAATAATACAGCAAAACAGTTCTTGTGGCATTCCTTGTTCTTATAAATATCAGTGGCTTTGAAGTATCTACATATTTAAATGCATCAATATGCATTATATGCATTATTTCACTCCTTTCCTCTTACTGCTTGGTTCTCCCCCCCTGTAGAGCTATGCCCCAGCTTTGTAAAATAAAGTATCCGTTACACACTGAGAAAATGGGCCTGATGAATCACAAAACCCCACATAATTTAGTACATCATAGCTCAATACAGCTTTTCAGTCTAATTTAATGCATTATTGAAGATAACGCGTTCATTAAAACAGCTGCCAGCAAACTGTTCATTTGGATTGTTTCATGGAAGCACTAGTCAAAGAGAAATAAAATGCCACATGCTAATGATATGCAAAAAGGACAAAAAACAATTAAGTTTTGATACATTGGTATTGAGATGTTAATATGATTTTTTTTAATGAGTACTGCCATCCAGGCTTTTATATGGTAAATACCAAGCATCACAAAACCGGTGTTTCCTTTCAGGAAACTTACAACATATAATAAAAAATAACAAAAAAACACATGGCAAAATTACCAGGGCCGTTCAGCAAGGATGAATTAATGAGCACGGAATTATTATTTATTGTTTCTTATTGCTACTTCTCTGTCAGTGAGCATTTAAGTAGCAGATATTTGGATCCAGAGTTTGCTCCTGGCCTCTGATGGAGTGAAGTAAAAACTCTCTCATCCCCTCAAATGCTGGGGAATCCTGGATCCTGATGTGCTGCCTCAAATGAGTATCTAATATCTTCCATTGTAACTGAGCCTCAGCAATAACCGTTGGTCGCTGAACAGGTCCAAATTTGTGACTGTAACATTAAAATTTCACCACTGATTTTCTCTACCTGATGTGCAAGTACCATCATTTCCTGGTGCAGCACCGGGTAGGATTGAGTGTAGTTTAACTGGAATATGTCATCAAAAGCAATAGACACACACCAGAAAAAATACGTATAATAACAGGTTTATTAAAGCTACTGCCACTAATTAATAACAAATTTTCCTAAAAATAACAAAGCAAACTATCTACTGTTTCATGGCTCCTTTACATATCAGTCTGAACATTCTTTAAGCCAGGCAAGACAGATTACATCATGGTTCAGCTGCAGGCCCAATGGTTTAAATTATGCAGACACCCATACATCCTGTCTCCACTACTGAATGTGCAGACGAGGAGATAAAGTCTGGCTGGGACAGCCGTTCAACAGCCTAATACCAATCTATGGCTTTGGCACTTTTCACCCTTCTAAGCTCTTGCTCAGGTCCAGCAGCCTCTGAGAGCTCTAACTCTGTCATGATCATATCCAAGAAGTCCTTTTCAGCTGAGAGGTAAGAGAGAAAAATCATTTCTGAATGACTAAGATCTAAAACATCTAGTAGTCAACATGTCAACATCTTTGTTTGCCCCGTAAACCACTGAACTATTTGTTATTTTTATTATTTTAGGCAAATAAGGCAGCTAATATTGAGTGTTGTGGAAATGTATTATAACAAAACACGGACTCTTCTTTCAGTTTCTGGACTTTAATACACATACACTGTCCAAAAGGGAAAAAAAAATGCTTTCACTGTAGTCACAAAGGAAGGATTTTATCTGGCCTAATGTAGATGTCTAGAAATCTGAACTATTTGCTCCAGGTTCCTTTGCAAACTATGGAGAGTAAGACGTACGTTCAGAGCATGGTTAACCTCACGGTAGAATAGGTGTTTGCAATCTGACCAATTGAATCACTTCCTAAAAACTACCTACTTATTTGTATGACTGTAAAGACAGAATAGATAAGTAACTTAAAAGTACACTGTAGATGTTTAAATTTAGGCAAGATGAATCCATACAAGGTGTTTAGATAGTCAGCTTAATAAAGTAGGAAAGATAAATACAACAACATAATGTCATGCAAAGTATGTAGTTCGTGATTTCGTGGCAACTATTAAGTGTGGACTTCTTAAAAAAATGCTAATAAAATAGTTACCAGAATTACAAACACGGAGTGGGATATTTCTAATTTAAACCCTATAACAATTTTTGTTTAGAATCCCTTCTGCAGTCATAAAGATGCATTTTCCAAAGATGATTTGTTCCATCTTAGAGCTATCATTTAAGTTACGTGGAAAGAATGTTCTTCTGGAGATTGACGTCTCTCCTCGAAGGTACAGAGTGAACCCACCTCACTCTATATGAAAACAGTAGTTTTCACTGAATAACTGTCTTTGAAGTGACTAATCTTTGATGAGATTAATCTCATTCATGCTATATAAAGATAACAGATCTTTATGTCTGAGGAGACGTGATTTCAATAAAGAGAATACAGCCTCTTCAAAACATACGCGTAAGTATGTGCTGCTGTTCAGAAAATTTCAATAAATTATCATTAGTTTTACATACAGTTTAGCAGTTTCACAGATCTGATGAATAAACTGAACAATATCTTGTTTTGCTTCCTGGAATGTGTGTATGAAAAGGCACCTAAAATCTCACGGAATTAATTCCTTTGGGAACCATTCAGTAGGACTGCATTTAGAGTAGTTGTTCGTAGCAATAAAAATTAATCATTTTCCAAAATGGTTTGAATTGACAAGCCAATACATTTAACTAAACACTAGTGGAACTTCATTTTCACACTTTCTGTATGTCAAAATTAGTAGATCCATTTTTCTGCAAGAGAGAAAAGATTGATCAGAAATGCCAAGCAAAACAGAATTCTCTAAATGTGACACAATGAAACTTTAGATCAATTTATTTTTTTAGAAAATCTGAAGAGATTCTTAGAAAGTCTGGCTGTTCCATCTTGTCATTTGCTGACCAGGATATGTCAATTTATAATGTTTAATATACAGATCCTTGGTATGTCTTTCTACAGGTTTGTAACTGTTACAATGCCATATTGATTTTATAATCTGATTAATTGCAAAATTCACTCTTCCCATCACATTTTGCAATGGCATAATTACACAAAGATTTTAACAAAACAAGTTGATTAATATAATTTTAGTTAACATGGTCTTATCTCAGAAGAAGTACGTAGGTGAATACCAGCTCATCAGAACATTTCATCTAGGTTTCCATCTGTCTTTATTTGTTGCACAGGTACTGAATTATAGTAGTATGGATTAATAATTGTTGTAACAGAGAAGACTTCAAACAACTTTTAGAAAATTTAATAAAACAAAAGCTTCATCATTTTTCACTGCTTTGCACATTTGTTTAGTCACTATGCTCCTCGCAAAGGTAAAAATGGTACTCAGTATAATATTTTCATTAGGATTTAATAGATTTTATATCTTCTCTTTATTCCAACATTAGGTGAAAATACCTCTGAACCCTGGCTTATTCATTTCAATAGAACAAACTGATTCTCAGATGGTCTTGCAATTTATTCTTGTGACTTTCTGGGCAAGATGCCATTGCCTCACTGTCGGTGTCTCTATTGACTGCACAGGTAGGACTCTACAAATTACAATGAGACCTTAAAAGATCTCCCTCACAGGCGCAGAGCAATTATTGTGTCTGCAGCCTGGGGCTGGATATCATCCTGAGCGACCCAGTCTTACAGAATGAGATATTTTGAAAAGATTTAAGTACACAGAAATGAGTAAAAGAAATAGTTCTCTTGTAATAAGTTGAAATTATTTGAATGAAGTTCTCTACATTGCTTTTCTTATGTTCAATATAATACATCTTGCATCTTACCTTTAATTTTGGAATAGCAAGGCTCACAATGCACGGTTTGTCTGTAAATCCAAATGCTGTCTCCTGCTTTCAGATCTTCCAGTGGTCTTTTGCATACTTCACACTTCAACACACAAGTATAAGTAATATGAAAAATTAAACCAAAACTGTTCTCTAATATTCCTTCCCAATAGGCTGTCTTTTAGGGAGTAAGCAACCTCAGACCAGAATAGGGCTTATGAATACTGCAATATCATCAACTGTGAACTCTGAGACAGTAGTGTTTGTGAACGTTACATGAGACATCTGAATATCTCACCTTTAGACATCTAAAAATCAGATATCGAAGTCTTTACTAGTTCCCTAAGTTCTCTGTATACTCACCAACCCCTTACCTCCCCTAGACATTCCAAAGAATAATTTCTCTGCCTTAGCTTAGAAATTTATTCTAAAATAACATGAATCACCCTTTTGAGATCCTTTTGTTTCTTCATTGAGTAACGGTAGTGTGATCAGACTGAATCATGCAACTCAGACTAAATCTTAAAGAATCTAAACCTGCTTATTTAAAAATGTTTTATGATACTTTATCTTAGCCATTAAATATGTCTCCCATTATTGAAGAATCTGGACATTGCTTTCATAAATTTCTCAAAAAGCTAATTTTTGAGATAGAGGAGCATCACCAACTTTTCACTTATGAAAATACCTGGACATACAGAGGCTGACTTCCCAAGACCAAAAGGAAAACCTACAGTGGGTCAAGGAGCAAAGTAATTCAATCTGTAACCAGAATCTTGACACCAAAATTGACCCTTCTTTTGCAAACTAAAAAAAGAATGGCAAATTCTGGTTTCTTAGGATATTTTATCTTCTGTTAAGTGAAAATCAGTATTACTTTTACAGTGCAATTAAGTAACCAAAATGCCAGCCATCCCAGGAGGGCTCTAAGCCTTTCCATTATTTTCACAATGGCTGTCTATTCAGATAAATTTGGACTGAAAATCTTTATTAAAGTTAAAAATTAACAGTCTTACCCAGAACATTCTTTTGCTGCTAAATGAATAAAGGAATTGTGTGATGTCAACACCATTGACTTAAAGGTACTGTGAATTATTAGGTCCAGGATCCAGACAATATGTTACACATGCTCATTAGAGCTAGTATGAAATTGAAACTGAGCACTCAGTATTGATTAGTGTAACATGGCAGAGTACTAGAAAACTCTTTTTTCCCCCATTTTTACAGAAATATGCTTTTTCTATATATTTTCTGCATAAGCTCTTGGTATTAAGGTACCGTTAAGACAGTCTACTCTCTTCACTCATTTTATGTTTCCCTGTCTAAATCAGCAAAAGGATGGGAATGTTTTCAAAGCTTTGATCACCAAGATTAGCTAGCATTTTTATACAGAGCAATAACCCTACAGTTTGGATTATTTACTCACTGAACTTTTGGTATATACCTTTACAAGGAAACAAAGACCTTATACTGCTGTCAGCCACATGCAAATCTCTAATGGATACACAGTATTTGTAAGGAGCTAAATGAATATTAATGATGAGAAATTGCAATGCTTAGCTAAACACATAACTACAAGCATGAACCACAGACTTACATCAGTTGTTTAAATTTTTGCCAATCTTTTCATAGAAGTGCAGTTACACAAAATTTAAGCTGAATTTTGCTGGCCAGACAGGTCCCCACTTGGGAATAGGCAGCAAAAAGAATATAATTTAAAAAATAAGCTTACATACTTAACAGATAATTCAATCAATACCAACATGTTAACTCTCCTAACTGCATAAAAAGCCCATTCCTCTTTATATGGGTTGATCCATCTAAAAAGAATGGAAGCAAACCAGAGTTTGTGTTAACTTGCAATAACAGATTTGAGGAAGTAATTTCCATGGAAGACATTGCATTTTTAGAGCTCACAGAGCTCAGAAAGTCCCTATGAGACAGCAAGCATATGTAACTTCATACATGTTAAGTACAACCTTATTGCTGTATTCTGGTTTGGGTTACTTTTCATGCAATAACTAGGTAAAAAAAACTGCTGTCAGAAGCAAAAGCTATGCAAGACTGGGCAGAAAAATGAGCTATGCTAATGCGGTGATTTTGCAAGTATTGTTTCTCAGAACAACAAACTCTGTGTGGAGATACAAGCAGGATCAAGACAAATGAAGCAGAAAGCAAACAGAACACAGGGCTGAGCACTGCTAGGCTTACCCTGAGAAAAGTTTAAGAGCAAATTTTAGGCTGAGGCTGAAGCTTAGGCTTTGGAATGGCAAGCAAAAAAATTTCTTCTGTGCTTTCATTCTTATTGGAAACAGGAAAAAAGGCTTTTACGTGATTTTTAATAAATAAGACTGAAGGAAAGGCATAACCAATTTCAACACCATTTCATCCTACAGCAAAAACTATCCCCATGACCTGAATTTTAGCCAATTCTTTGACCCCAATTGGTAAAGTGATTTCAACTCTATTGCTTATTTCAACTCTATTGCACTTACTAATGCCTTTGAATGTGGCTTCCCCACAAGCCACGATTTTAGATGTCACTTAATCAAGAACATTTACAAAACTTCATTAAAAAAAAAGATGTAGAATAAAATTTTACAATATGAAAAAAGTGTAAGTAGGATATAATTCACTATATCAGACTGGAAGCATGTATAAACATGAAGGTTTATAAAGGCATAGGGGATTCAGGATACATTCCACTGCATCCTTTATCCTCTTTGTGGTTGCAAGAGAATAGAAAGAGGAGATGTGGGGAGAGGGAGATTAAATGAAGTGGGAGAGAGAGAGATATGGAAAGAAAGAGGAAGGTATTGCATAGGGGTGAGAGAGAGAGATTAGTATTTCCCACATTAATCTTCTTCTTCAGTGTGCAAGCCTTCCTCTTCTCCCAGGTGGAGAAGGCCTAAGGCCTAAATATTCTCTTATTGTATGTGTAATATAATGCAGGTATTACATTCAAGTTATATGTCTTAGTAGCAGGTGAAGTCTTCTTACCTTGAAGCAAGTCGAATGACAGCAAATTTGCAAGGCATCTAGGATCATTTTGGCATCTATGCCCAAGGGCTTCCTGCAGTATGTACATATATCTTTTCCAATTATACTCCTGTGCATAAAATATAAAATCAGCTGTCAGAAAAAGACCTACCACTGAAATTTCAAGGAGAAAATTGATAAACTTAGTGTGCTACATGGGAAAGACCTTTGTGTACTCTGCAATGGCCATAAATGGAAAAAATGTCATGTGTGTATTCCCTCCATTCTAGTTGACAGGGGTAATATACATGCTGCTGTGATGGGCAAATTGCTAAGCGTAATTGCCAAGTAGCAAAAATACCTGGATAGAAAGAATGGTCTTCTTTGGTGAACAGAAAGATTTCAAGCAGTAATAAGACTATATTAAGCTGCTGAATGTCTGGGAACACGTATGCTAAATGGGGATGAAGTGGAGGGTAGTGATTTTAATGTTTTAAACACAAAAGTAAATTGGTAGTTGAATTTAAACTGCCATCGCGTGATCAGTCTGATGACAGAGAATTCTCCTCTGTGTTACAGAAGTGCCTGAAAACCTTTTCAGCTTTCTGCACTGCAGCCAGAAATCCTACCTTTGTGGCAGTTACAGTGAACACATATATATATAGAACAGCCTACCTGGTACTCAGAACAATAATATTTTTAAAAAATTTTCTCAGCTCTTTTTGCATTCTTGTGTGACATCAATCTGTACTGTCTCTAGATACAACTATTGGTGATGGTTTTACACTACAAAATCAACTGGTCTTGCTCCTTGCCACTCAATGATAAACCATTGTACTAAGTTTTAATCATTCCCAGATTTACATCTTACATTGGAAAGGATACAAGTTTTTCTGCTTTGGTATTTCCAAGTAATAGAAATGTACAAATTATCTGAACTGGGCACAGTAAATGTGACCATTTAATTTTTTTTCTCCATGAAGGGAAAATTACTGATATTACTGATTCAGCAAATATTCTATTTATATTTGGGAATATCTTAACTGATGTGAAAACACAGAGTTTTTAACAGCATTGTAATGTGAGCCTATTCCTCCACATCTGTACACAAAGTTGGTCATTACAGACAGCATTCTCAGAAAGGAAGGAAATTTTGCAAAGTGGCTGCCCGAGGTAGAGACCTACAGAAGCACAAAGCCAACGCTATCACTTAAGGCATTGACTATTGTTTCTATAGATATTTTTAAATGTCAGCTGTGACAAGCCTAACATAATATTAGGCTGCTGAACTGTGTTAACGATTTGATGGCAAGATTCCACTGAAAGGGAGCTCTAGGAAAAGCTGTCTGATGAGCCTAATGGTGACTTCCAGTGCTCTCTTTTGTCTGAACACTTGAACACTTATGCAAAATGTCTGCGTCCTTTGATACTCTACAATGTTATTGATGTGTACTTACCGATCAGAAGTAGAGTAAACAGTTTTGATGGTATTTCCAGTTATATTTTCTTCATAGGCACCATATGACGATTTGCTGTGAAGCAGTGAGTGCATAGCAATCACCAAACAGTACTTTTTATTTTTAAATATTTCACTACAATGATGACAATACGCAAATTAAACTAATGTAACATGCTTGTAAAAAATAATCATCATACGTGGTGATGAATTCCTTTCCTGTATTTTCACAACCGTCAAGAAAAATATATTAAATAAAAAAGTATAAACTAGAAATATAGTGTCCTTAGACTGTGTTCTGTTCAGCATTTCAAAATTAAATCAACAAGCCCATTGAGCAAAATCTACATGATGGTGTTGGCTTTACCTGTGCTGATATCCAAGCATAAATGATACATATCAGGAAATGGTGACACACTGTATTTTTTTCCCTTTTTGTCTCCTTCTTTCATTAGTCCTCAAAGAGCTGTCAAACAGCCAAACAGAATTACACGTCCCTAGAAGCAGAGTCAGGGTCTTTATAATACAAACTATTCAGTATGTGATTTGTGTTCACTACAGTAACTGTATTGTTCCTTGCATCACAGTAGGAAAGAATATACTGAATTTAACTATCAGGGGAGTTAAATATTCCTTTTTTAACAGTCGCAGTTCTAGTTGCTTAACTGTCAGTTTTGTTTGCCTGGAACGGATGAGCACGTACGTGACAGGCGAAGAAGTCCTCTTGCCATACATGCTTTGAACATTTGTGATCTGATTTAATTATCCTATTCCTCCAGAAATTCATAAGATATATGGTAATTATTACATGTTTCATATCATTCTGGAATAATGTTTAGCAATGTTAGGAGCAATTTTTTGTAATTGCGTATTTTCCAGAACATGTCTTTTTTTCAGGGAAAGCATAACAGACTGATAGCATTATTATGTAAGGTGTTACACAGCCTAGACACACTTTCTACATTGTCTTTTGTAATGTGTATATGTCTTAATTGATTTCTATGCAACACCAGACATTTATTAAAATCTCACAGTTACTGAGAAGCTTAAATGAGAAATGTTTTGTTTATGTTTCATAGAATGTAACAATAGGCTTGTTATTGAATAGTTACATAGAAAACCTGGGTTTGCTCACCACAGAGAAAGTATCTTCTCAACTGAACACCCAGTGCTCCATTTACATTTCAGGCAAGAAGAAAGTAAGCTTACTAAGGAGGAAAGCAAACTGAAGCTAAGTGGTTGCCCTTTGAAATAATTTTTCTGGCTATTTTTTCCCCAACCAAACTAGACACATGCACAACACTTGTCACAGGGTGGAGTATATCGATGGTGCAAATGCCTAAAGTTTCTTGCTGTAGTGAAAAATGGCATAGGAATGTCACCTCTCTGTTCCTCTAAAGCATGGGCCTGTCTGTGCTTGTTGTTAAGCTTGTTTCCCCTAAACCTTTCATTTAACTCATTGTATTATTTAGCTGCAGCATCTAGTGCTTAGTCAGGTTGATGCTTCAAATCATCCAGTTAAATAAGGGTTAAAGTCAGGGCAAAGTGAGTACTGTGGGGTCATTAGATGCAGAATGCCTGAAAATAACACTATTTATCTTATAGAAAGTTGTATAGGCAAAAATACCTTCCTCACATGTCCTAGTGTAGAGAACAGTGTCGTCTTGATTTTACTATCTGGCTAAATTATTATGGCTGAAATACACACAAATAGATATAATCACATCTTAAAAAAAAATAAAATTGTACTGTGTAGAACAAAAAACTGTGAAGCTACAGCACTTTGCACACTCAACATAATAGGGGTCATTAGATGCAGAATGCCTGAAAATAACACTATTTATCTTATAGAAAGTTGTATAGGCAAAAATACCTTCCTCACATGTCCTAGTGTAGAGAACAGGGTCCCCTGGATTTTACTAACTGGCTAGAGTATTATGGCTGAAATGCACACAAATAGATATAATCACATCTTAAAAAAAAAATAAATTGTACTGTGTAGAACAAAAAACTGTGAAGCTACAGCAAAAATACTTCCTAAGCATTAGTTTACAGTCTTGCCAACTGAAAGTGTGAGGAAACTCAGAACCTTTTCAAATAAATGCATAGGCTGGCTGCTTGACAAGACACGAAGTTAAAAGTGAGCCACCATGCAGCCTGAGAACTGCCTGTCTGACCAAGTCCCTTCTTCCAGTTCGTGTCACTCACTCCTTTACCTGCTACAGTGCGACTTGTTTACACAGCAAACTACTCAACAACTCTGCAGAACCACTTCTTCCAGTTCGTATCACTCACTCCTTTACCCGCTACGGTGTGACCTGTTTATACAGCAAACTACTCAACAACTCTGCAGAACCTGTTGCATAAAACCTGAAAGAATAACCCTGCAAAGACCATTCGTCAAGTAGGCTTTCATTCGTCCTAGTGTAGAGAACAGGGTCCCCTGGATTTTACTAACTGGCTAGAGTATTATGGCTGAAATGCACACAAATAGATATAATCACATCTTAAAAAAAAAATAAATTGTACTGTGTAGAACAAAAAACTGTGAAGCTACAGCAAAAATACTTTCTAAGCATTAGTTTACAGTCTTGCCAACTGAAAGTGTGAGGAAACTCAGAACCTTTTCAAATAAATGCATAGGCTGGCTGCTTGACAAGACACGAAGTTAAAAGTGAGCCACCATGCAGCCTGAGAACTGCCTGTCTGACCAAGTCCCTTCTTCCAGTTCGTGTCACTCACTCCTTTACCTGCTACAGTGCGACTTGTTTACACAGCAAACTACTCAACAACTCTGCAGAACCTGTTGCATAAAACCTGAAAGAATAACCCTGCAAAGACCATTCGTCAAGTAGGCTTTCATTAATTAAACTGGGATTACAGGTTCAGGTAGGGGGTATACATTTTGTCGAGTGTGAGGTAACACTGCATATTGAAACACATTCTTTGCCCTGCCATTCTTGTTATTGCTCTCTATTTTTATTTTCAAAGATAACCACAATACCACACCTCCCAAGCTGTATGTCTGCAAAATGCTAATGTTGAATATTCATTTTGAGCCTTAAAATTGTATGCTGTTTGGATTTTCTTTTATTCTCAGCCAGTTTATGGACTTGGCCTTCAAGGCCATGCAGAGCTTTCAGAATGCACAAATTTCAAGTGCACTCCAACATCCTACAGAAAACGTAAGAAAATGAGACAGCAAAGACCCTGTGCCCAGTCATAGCCACACCAAGGCTCAGGTGTGCATAGGCTTAAGGATTGGGACATTGGCCATAGTTCCCATAAAGTACCCGGCTGCAACTGCTATTTTCCCTATTAACTAAGGCTCAATATAAGATTTATCCTCTTCCTTCCAAGTCATCAGCCTTGACTCTGGCAATTCATGACCGCTATACAGCAATAGCACACCTTAGATATTGGACTGCCTTTAAAAAGTCCTGTCTGCATTAATACTTAAGTCCACATAGATGAGTGGGTTGCTACTGAAGAGAGATTTTCCTTATTCAAAAAGTTTCTTCATTCAAGAATTATATATTATGGGTTTTGTCATCATATTACTTGAAAATACATTTTGACTGAAGAAAAATATATTGTTTCCTTTATTTCAATGATTTTCTATTACCAACAGATCTGGTGTTTAGTTAGTTCTATTAAGTTCTATTAAGTAGCCCTATATCGCATTTTTTCACTCAGATTTGCAATGCATGTGCTTGTAGAGACAGAATCCAGCTAAAGCAAGAGTATTGCAACATAAATGGTTTTAAAAGAAGCTTTTACTGGGTCAAAAAGCCAGAAATCCATGTTGCAGTTTCAGTGATTGGGGTAAGAGGATCAGATTCATCCCATGTCATTTTAGGAACTTAACAAGGCACTTGAGTGAAGAGCATAATGTTTTCCTTACAGCCTTGGAGAGAAATAAGCTCCCTGAGAGCACGCTGCATCAAATATGCAGGAAATGCCTTTCCTCTATTGATTATATAAGAATTTTGGCTTTACTGCCCTCCTAAATTTCATGCCTCAGCTACATCTCTAGAGCTACACAGGGTATGTCTTGTGCTCCCCACCCTGTACACTAGAGCTATGTTTTGTGGGCTTCTGTTTGTGGGCTCCTGGAAGCAGAATTTGGAAAGGGGCTGGCATGATTCCAGAGACCAGTGTGAGGTTTCTAAACATCCCTGAAATGTCTTGCATAAAGACGGTTTCTCTTTCTTTTCTTTTCTTTTTTTTTTTTCAATAAATGACAATTTAGACATTATGGTTCTCAATTAATTGTCCACAGTACCTGGTCTTTCTTTGACTGTCACTGGAGTACTTTATCTCTGGGAGATTATTTGGAGCCCTTGGAGGATTTTCATATGCTTGCTTGGTTGTCCTAAAAAAAACCACAACACCACAAAACCAAACCACAAGAAAACAAGCATTTTTTAGAAATCATTGTCAGCTACACAGCTTTCAGTTACACTTACAGCCATAAATGTAGAAGCTTGAGCTCATAACAGTAGGCAAGAGAAATTTATCTTTTTCTCACTGTTGTAAATTGCTGCTTGTGAAATGTAACTGAATCATTGACCTCTGTTTTATGCTGGTACATTTATTCATATCACAAGCTTCATCTAACTTTAATTGAACTCTAGTTTCCTCAAAGTGCCCACTGAGGTTTTCAACAGTGCATTCTGCATTTTCTTGGCTGTAAAGTTTTATTCTTGTTTTTACTATATTTTAGTTACAAATAGTCTTTTATATATATATATACTACAGTGATGTTTTGATTAGAAATGACCAGCTAAACAGATACATAGGATCTTATTTCAAAAAGCAGGATGACAATTCAAGCAGCAGAAACCTTGTCTCCTGCAGTTTTCCCTGCCACAAACATGACATGCAACCAAACATAAAAATAAACCTTGTCAGACAAATTATAGGATTTAAGGATTAAATGCTAATAATGTTTTTGATGATTTTATAAAACAGCCCAGACAAAGGCTGCTCTTGTTTGGTTCTGCCAAAGGTTATATTCTGAAACAACTTGATGATTATAAGCCTTAAGTCTGGATGTTTGGTCTGTAGCTTGATTTATTTCAGTGAGCTTGCCAAGGTCTGAAGCTTTGCTAAAGGAACCTTGCTCAGTGCTGGTCCCTGTTTTATATGCAGAGCATGTTGCATGAAGCAGCACCCTTTATTGTGCTTGATTCCTCATCTGGCAGGCCCCCTTTCAGAACTGAAGGAGAAATTCATTCACCGTACATATTCACTATATGCTTCTTTGGTCAGACTGTCAAGTGAGACTGCTAGCATAAAAATATTTCATATTAAAAAATAGCAGAAGTACTTGTGTATAAAGATATCTAAGCTCTTCCTCTTCATTTAGATATACAGCTAAATGAAAGACTTAAAAACACACTGTCAGAATGGTACCTGAAAACATAATAATAACTTCCCTTTAATTGGCCAAAATGGATCTTAGTTTTTCCAAATGATGAAACCCAGGAGCAGTGAATCTTTTAAACTATGAATGCATTTAGTTATATTTCTTTGAGATATTAACAGTTGAGTTCACAAAACACCTAGATAAGCACAAAAATACGTATGAGGATCTTATCACCAGGCATTTTCATTCACTACAAGAGATTATAAGTTTGAGTCATTACTTATTATCAAAATACATGCAGCTATATTCTATTTGGTTAATCAGGCATATTTTAGAAATAATACAGATAACTTAAGTAATGCAAATCATGCTTGCTTGTATTAGGAATTCACATCTTCTCATACTACATTAAACACATACAAACTCTGAATTGAGTCTCACCGCTTTTTATTTTGATCATCAGCAGACTTGACTTCAGTGTGACCGCCAAGGTCCTGATCTCTGTGAAAGACAGAAAGACCTCAGAACTAATCAAATTATCTGATTCAACGTAAAAATATTAAATCAGTTGAGTTATTTATGTTGAAGAAGAAAAAAATATCCTTATTTCAAGGGGAAGATTCCTTACTACATTGAGTATGTATCACAATTGTTCCATATCATAAGCGTTCAGTTAGTTTTGGAGTAAGAGTTATCAGTTCAAACTTCAATATTTTTCAGTTTCTCTCCACTACTGAAGAATGACAAACTACTCAAAAATGCTAAGCTCATTATAGTATTGCAGGATAATTCATGTTGGAATTTAGGGACCTCAGGAGGTCTAACCTCCTGCTCAAAGCTCTAAGGTCAGAGCAAGTTTCTCAGGAGATTTCCTAGTTCGATCTTGAAAACCTCCAAGGCAAGAGATGATACAAGATGATATAAAATCTTCAGGCAACCTTCTCCACTGCTGGACAGTCCTCCAGTCTGAATCTGTCTTGTTTCCACTTAGGACCACTGTCACACTGTGTTGCCATGCCAAAGGTGAAGGGCCTGCTGACTAAATCTTCTAAGCTGACTATGGCTCTGTTATTTCAGCTTGATAATACAACTTCATTCAATACAGGCACCAGCACCATGAGCTACAGAAATGGCTGCCAAAATGTGTTATGCTCGTTTTTATCCAGCCCAGATTCCTCTTACAACTGCTGTTATCTAGGGCTGTATACAACCTCTAGGACCATATGACCACATTTATACTAGCAACTTGTGAATCGCTGGCTATGAAAAAGCTAATTTCATATATCAGCATATGTCATCTAGATAACTTATGAACATAATTTTACATCAGTATTTTATATTAAATGGTATGTCATTAAAAATAATAATGTTATCCATTGAAGAATTGTTTAAGATTAAAAAAGTCCACACTGGTTCTCATTTGAAAATGAATAATGATACTAAGAAAAAAGAGATTTTCAAAAAATTATTTATGATACTCCTCTTTTTTATTTAAAGAACACTTTTTTACTTCGATTGAGCATTTCACATTAATTGGAAGAACTTTGATGGTCCTTCATTGACTATTTAGAGTTCCAATAAGATAAAGTCAAGTACTACCTGCATTTCTTCCACACTCAATTATTTATATTTACGAGCCTGCATTTATTGAGGAACTTAAAAAACATTAAAATTCCATGGTTTAAATCAAATAAAAATATTAATTTCAACTCCTCTAATGATTTTTACAGAACAGAACCTATTAATACTAATATTGAACCAACCAGAAACTTTTTATAAGTATATAATGGAAAGATTATTACAGCCTTGCCTCTTATTTTTCTGACCAGCAGCATTTATTTCAGTAAAATCCTCAAGGTCTTTTCCTCTGAAACAACAAACAAATACAACTGTTAAAATAGTCCCCCTATCAGGGAAAAGGTAAAGTGTTGTAAAAGAAATATATTTATGCACACATTTAAAAGGAAAAAAGTAAACTGTTAGTTAAGTTTATGTTCAAAATTTGCAAACACTTATCATCCATGAGTTCTACAATATTTTCTTTAATGCCCCTTCTCTAACTATATTAAATATTTCTTTAATAGCTCTATTAAGGAAGCATATGAAGCATGTATGATAGCTTGCCATAAATATTACTTGTTCAGCTTATAGTGCATGTGTCAGTTATTTGATCTGTATTTTGCATTCATCATTCTGTATAAGGAATGCTACTCATTAATCTATAAACATTTTACAGATTTGCAACATTACCTTTCCTGACATTCTCATAGTTACAAACTACTCACTGCCTTAGAAAAGCAGGGCCTGAGAAGCTTTGAAGACTTACTCCTTGTCACTTGTGAAAGAACTTGAGTTCACTTTGATGACGTTATCGAGATCTTGGTCCCTTCAGAGACAGAACAAAAAAACAGATCAAATCACAATTAGTATAGCCAGCTGTCAATTAGCGAAATTAAATACTCACTTAAAAAGAAATTATAATTGACATATTCTTTGTGAAAGACAAAATTAAACTGATGAAAAGGTCAAAGCATACAACATTTTAGTAATTCAAAAATATTCATAGACACAGACACATGAAACCCCCCCCCCATATGCACATAAGCACACAGTCTTCCTGGAGTAAGAGGACAAAATTATGTGTTGTATACAACAAGTTATACCTAATACTATGTCAAAAAGGATAGTTCCTGCTGAACAGGCCTCATGGACAACTTCAAGGAGTGCCTCACCTCTAACATGCTGTGATATCTTTACCAAGAATCTTTACCAGATAGTACAACCAGCCAAGTATTCCTGATATGTGTATGAATAATTTCTTACTTAAAAAGTAATTATGGATGAAATCTTTCTGGCTAAATCAGTCAAAAAGTCAAAACTTCTATTTGGTAGGCTATCTGGACCAGCTCCTTTGCAATTAAAATCTCCCTTCTCACAAGAAATGTCATGATTAAACTGAGGGATGCTGAGAACTAGTTCCATCCACTGATTCTTGAACTTCCATAAGAGAAATAGGATGTGACTTATTATCATTATTATTACCTGATGTAAGGAAAAAAAAAATCTTCCTTGAATCAAGTCAAAACATGGCATGTAGCTTTGACTGCCTCTATTTCTCTTCAAGGGATTGCACTGGTCTTAATGCTTCTATAAAATGTTTCTGGAAATGCATTTTCCATCTGCAAACTCCTCTACTGAAAAACTTTCAGCAACTTTACCTGAAAAGTTGTTATCTAGTAACCTTAACTTGCTACAACAAATTGAAAGATAGACTCCTATAAGGAAAACAATGGGAAGAGCGATGCCCTATGATGGTGCGACAGCGCTCCCCTTGCAGGACCTGCTCTGTAACCTGGTAGTCAACATCGTTCTATATGTCTCATTACTGACAGTTCATTTTGAACAGTTCTGTCATGAAACAACATCTCAGTGAAAGATAAAGACAGCCTTTTCATGTTTCTTCCTGATCGTGTTTGTCAGCTTTGTGGCCTCCCTTTGATGAGATTATCAGGATCTTTCTTTGTTTAGGAAGGAAACAAAACCAGTTCAATGCAAGGCAGGTCTATTGCCAGGTAGCTAGAATTCCATACTAGTCAGTAATAAACAAATAATCTACATATGATACGCTTTTGCAAATTCTCTTTATATTATCACATATTTCATACTTTTCAGAGTTTTTCTCCAGAAGCTGGAGTCTTGCAGTTATCAAAAATATGTTTTCCTTTACTAACTGGATGGCACGTTGCTTCCACAGTAACTGGAGGCAGCAACACTAAAATGGTAGTAAGTCTTATTAAAGACCTGAAGTAGTTGTAATTCATTCTGAACAGTTCTGTCACAAAACAACATCTCAGTGAAAGATAAAGACAGCCTTTTCATGTTTCTTCCTGATCGTGTTTGTCAGCTTTGTGGCCTCCCTTTGATGAGATTATCAGGATCTTTCTTTGTTTAGGAAGGAAACAAAACCAGTTCAATGCAAGGAAAGTCTATTGCCAGGTAGCTAGAATTCCATACTAGTCAGTAATAAACAAATAATCTACATATGATACACTTTTGCAAATTCTCTTTATATTATCACATATTTCATACTTTTCAGAGTTTTTCTCCAGAAGCTGGAGTCTTGCAGTTATCAAAAATATGTTTTCCTTTACTAACTGGATGGCACGTTGCTTCCACAGTAACTGGAGGCAGCAACACTAAAATGGTAGTAAGTCTTATTAAAGACCTGAAGTAGTTGCTTATATTTTTGCAACTTTTATTAAGAAAAAACCTCCAGCTGTGCATGTGTTTGACTTGAGTAAAATATGCATTATTATTCTTGTCTTCTGCATCGTCCATTCCTTTATGTTCTTGGAGGTGTTTTGAAATATGCATCTCAAGTCTTCTGCAAAGCTTACTGAAGCTCTGCAATTGCAGCTACCTCAGTTATGAGCTTTATGTGTTAGGTAACCCTCAGATACATATATCAGCCTCTGTGTGGCATATTCACCCAAAACATACAAAGCAGAAGATTTGGGACTCCTGTTCATTCTGCCTGCAATCGTGGGATTATACGCAGTTTACTCAGCAGGGTTATCAGTAGCCTTTCTGTTTACTTCTGCTGAATTTCACAGCGTGGAGCAACAGAAAGGCTGTGACAGTAGCAAAGCTCTGCCCTGCAGGCCAGTACGCTCCCATGTCTGATTTTCAAAGGAATATAAGCACTTGGGGAACCAAATCTCAATATGCTTTTTATGAGACTTAGCTCTGTAAATTAAATACATTTGGAATTTTTACTCATACTTTTTGTATATAAATACAAAATATTGTATTTACTTTTTTACAATTTTCCCTATCATATTTTTTAATAATTCCTGGAGGTTCTTCTTGCAGAATCAGATATATTAATTAAAAGACACCCTCCTACAAAAATAACCAAATACTATGAAGATAAATATGGTACCACCACAAGGCCCAAATACTGTAACTTTTTGTGATAATCTTTGTAAGAGATGTGAACATATCTTAGTGATTTTATATCTAATGCTTCATAATTGAATTAATAATACTATATAAATTGATTGTAGAACACTGGGAAGTTATATCACTTATATACTTGTTCTTGTTGTAGATAAGATTTTTCTGTAAACAAGGAATGAAGAAACTCTCTGAAGACCAGAAGGAAAGATTCTGGCTTTGAAATGCAATATTTTTAAGTTTTCCTATGTATTTTAACACTCTTCCCAGGTAACTTCAGATTTATTTACCTTAAAATGCTTCATTTGCTGTGGACAGAGTTTTCAAATCAGAAAAGAGGAGTTATCTAAAATAGTTCAACCCTGACCTACGGCTTATTTGAAAATAATGAAAAAAAGAATAGACTTACAAACTTCCAATAATTTAGGAATCATCCCTTCAGAAATGTGCTTACTAGCCCATATTAATCCTTGGTGCAACTCGAGGGATAAATGAGTTAGTTCCCTTCTGTAGACTTTAAATCATCATGACTTTGCAGCCAACAGCATTTTTTTACTTCCTCGTGCATTATTTTCAGTACTTTTGAGTATCACTGACTGGCCTGTGAGGAAGATTGTACTTGCTGCCCAAAGGGATAGCAACAAAAGCAATAAAAGTCTAGGCTGCATGTGCACACTGTCAACTAACAGCTTGATTTATAGAATGCTGACACTGAAGAGCCCTAACAAGTGAACAGAAACAGTTGTAGCTGCAGATTACAGCACAAAACCATATACAGACTGACCTGTGCAGCCCTGGTTCCTGTGGAACAAAACTTCTGTAAAACATAACCCTTAGAAGATACACTTCTCAAACTTTCACCCTCACGAAACATCTGCTTGCCATGACTGCAGCAAGTAATCAGGGCTGACATCTTGCAAGGTCTTTGCCTTGAGGTGGCTGGCTAGTGCAAAAGAGAGGCCATAGGATAAGCGAATTCAAGCTACTGATTCAAGCATAGTTCAAGTTATGAAACGTCTGCTTGACATGACTGCAGCAAGTAAGCAGGGCTGACATCTTGCAAGGTCTTTGCCTTGAGGTGGCTGGCTAGTGCAAAAGAGAGGCCATAGGATAAGCGAATTCAAGCTACTGATTCAAGCATAGTTCAAGTTATTAGCAACTAAAGTTAAAGTCTGAGACCTGTTATTTGTAAAAGGATAAAATGTAAAGTAGGAGGTGCTGCAAGACATAGTGGATAAATCAGAATTTATCTGATTAGATTCAGGGCATTCATTAACTTTTTTTAAATCTCTCATTGTTATCAAAACTACATTTACTTTAGCAATCACACACAGTGGGCACCAGTGTTGACATCACTGTATAACACAGTCTCACATTAAAAATTAGAGTGGATTTGCAACACAGAGCCTAAACAGAATTTCAGTTTAGATTTCGTTTGAGTTGCTAGCACGCTAAAAATCAGCAATACAACTTATATCTTTTCTAACACTTCTAAAAGAGATGTCAAGTATTAAAATGGAGAAGAGACTAACCTATATATTCATCCATTAAAGAAGCTCATTGACTATCAGAATATCACACACAGTGAAAGGCTGTTGTGGAAAAGTCTTTCCAGTTGTTGTCATAACTGTCATTTGGAAAAATAAACTTTTTCAGTATCCAGAGGTTGCTGAATTGAATTCAGCGACTGCCAACGATTTTAAAAAATATAGATGATGATGGGAAACAGCAGCATAAAACTTCTACACACAGAAGTTTAGACAAACTTGGGGAAATATCTTTCAAATATGGTAGGTGACTTGTAACAGATGATGACATTTTTCATAGCTCCTTCCAACGGATGCCACCTCCAAGCATAGCATTTTCAGAGACAGCCATTACATCACTGTGAACATTCTGCCTAGGGTGAGTATTCTTCTAAATGGATGAGAATGAGCCAGGTCAGACAGCCTGCCAGGAGGAGAATATATTGTTTGCTCATAAATTCAAGAAGATAAAATACTTTAATACAGCCTCAGGATATGACTGGAATTTTTTTAGGACCACCTAACTTAGGATAACAAATATAAATTTTTGTATTCTGTATAAAATTACTTGGAACAGTAATACAGATGATTTTGTGTCACATTTTGGACAAAAGGATAAAGTATGGAAAAAATTTATTAATTTATTATAAAATTAAAAAATTAAGATTAAGATTAAGATTAAGACCTAGGCATGCTTGTTATCATCACTGAAGTATGGAAGACAATTCTATCAATTCATTTTCTCTTCCCTCTGTAAATGACCACTTCCAGAAATAAAGTCTATTCTTCTTTTAACATCCCCTTGCAGAAAAAGTGCTTAAAATATGCTATGAATCTACAAGAAAGCCCCACTTTGAAGGGCAGAAAAACCTATGTGCAACTGCACCAACTTGGACTTCATGGT